AGCTGTCGGACGTGTCCCGGCGTGGCTCCGGCGCTATGGGGCTGTGTTCAGCGGGGGTCTGGCAGCACTTGCTCCAACACCCTCCACGGAGCCCCCGTTTGAAGAGCTACTCCCCGGCCGCTCCGCATGTGCGGGGGGCAAACAGCATCTCTCAACCACTAAGTACCAGTTCACCCCACCATGGCTGCTGGCTTTGGTGGCTCAATTCAGCCGAGTGTTGAGCGCGGTGCACACCAGGGCTGCGTTAACAACCCGGCCCTTGCCCAAACAGGCGGGGTGGGCATCAGGCGGCGGTCATCATGTGAATTGACTGCCTAGTAATTAGGAATCAGGTGCTAATTGGTGGGACCCCTGAGCTGCTAGAAGATTGCTGCTAGCTCGGTGCGTTCACATGCCCTTGATTAGCTCCAGATGGAGCCAAAGCCCGGCAGACGGCCTCGCGCCGGGGACATGGGCCACCCCCAACGATTGCAAACTGGGGGGTTTTCCCCAAATCAGCTGCTCAGAAAATGTTGATAAATGCTCTCCCCCTTCCAGAGCAGCTCCTTTCCCAGGCAGAGATATTTTGCAGAGTGAAATGATAACAGCAGCGTGGCTGCTGTCCTCGAGCATTTCTGCATCTTCTGGTTGATTTACCTCCCGCACCGCAAAGCGGCGAGGACGTGACGGGAACAGCAGAGCTGGCGTGCTATGGCTGTGCAAAGAGCTAGTGCTGTGGCTCAGGGCTGCTCCCGGGGGCCTTTGGCCTCAGACCCCCATGCTGCCAGGCAGGGTGATGTCTCCTGAGATGCGCCGGGCTGTGTACATCGCAGGAGTATCATCAAGTGCTGTGAATTTTGGGGGTCACAGGGTGAGTCTCGGTGCACAGCACCACTGAATGCTGGTGGTCCGTGCTGGCAAGGATGAGGAAAGCCCTGGATTTGGGTGGCAACACCCAGCCAGGCTGGCAGTGCTGTACCAGGTACATGATGGAAATTGCCCTGCAAACCTGCTGGTCACAGGCGTTTGAGGGCTCAGGAGCCCCCAGGGATGGGGTTTGGGGGACCATGCAGTGGGACCAGCAGAGTTACCCCTGTCCCCTCCTCAAGGGGACCTTCCCTGGGCACCTTTCCCCTGATCTCCAGAGCCGCTGGGCTGGTTCGTCCACACCTCGTCCGCACCTCGTGCCCTTGCAAGTCTTGTCCTGGAGGCAGATGGTTTCCGTGTGTCCTTCCCCAGGGTCACAACTTGCCCGGCTCCACACAGAGTCCTCCTAATTCCCCTGCCCCTCCTGCCCCCCCGCCTCGGCAGAGGGTGGCCCCACTGCTCCTGCAGAGCCACCAACCAACAGCTCATGCCACCGCCACTGCTGTGTCCTGCTCCTCAAGGCAACGCGGTGCGTGTCCCCAGCACGCAGTAGCCAGGCTGCGAGGGTCCCCCAAAGCAATGTCTTCTCCTAGAGATGTGGCTGTGGGCCCTGAGGCTGTCGGCAATGACAGCACCTCAAATTACCCCCGGGCGTCTTCCCTGGCTTGTTGGAGGACGAAGCAGGTAGTTTATTCACTACTGAAAGCACTTGCAACCTTGGGGGAGGATTATCTCCTTCTCACACAAGCCAACACCATCCTGCACTGGAGATGGCCACCTTCTGGTTACCAGGTACTCCCAGGTAGGACAGGCAAGTCTGGGGATCTGCTCTTTCCTCAAGTGCTGCAGAAGGTCTTCTCAGGAAGCCAAAAAAAAAAAAAAGGAGGAAAAAAATCCCAGGGGCTTGCCAAGGTTTTCTCTTGTTATCAGCCCCTCCGGGCCTTGCTGAGTGGTGTCTGGGAAGCCAGCCAAGCTGAGCTGTGGAGTGGGATGGAGCCGGCAAGAGATATTTGGGATGCAGGTTTTGAACTTGGGTGAACCTCAGCCTGAAAGCCCTTCGGCACGACCCGAGCCAGCAGGATTCATGAGAAGTGCCGTGGTGGCCGCCCAGGTTTCTGCAGGTCTCATTGTACCAAAGGGCGTTTGGCAGAGCGTTTCCTAGACAGGGGCATGCAGAGGCGCAGGAGGTGAGAAAATCAGCCTGAGGTGATGGTACAGGCGGATGGGAGATGGACTTGCTGTGCAAGGAGGAAGGCTGGGGTCCAGGGACCTTTCGCTCCTCTGAACCTGGATGAAAAGCAAAGCTTGTGCAAGCTCAGGTACCAACGATGCTCCAAGGTCTGCGGCCCTGGACAACTCAACAGCTTCACTCTGGGCTGTGTTTTCACAGGAAACAGACTCGGAGCAGCCTCCAAGCAAGGGGGTCCCACCAGCTGGCTCCCCTGGTACTGCCTCATCTGTCGAGGCAGGAGCAGCCAGAAGATGGCCAGAGGCAGCCACAGTCCAGGAGCATCCCTTCTGCAGGGCAGCCCAGCCTGAATCCTCCTCTCCCTTTGCAGAATCCCCTCTCCAGTGACAACGCGTCATCCCTGTGCAGCACTGTGGATTACAAGCCCCCGCCGCCGGAGGAGGAGGAGGTGGCGCACGAGGCCGAGGACAGCAATGAGCCTGAGGAGTGCTTCACCGAAGGTGAGGGACAGAGTAGGGCCGGGGACCCTGGGGAGAGGGGGAGGTGAGTATGGAGGGGCCACTGACCACCAATTCTTGCAGTGTAACGGCCCCCAGGCTCGCTTAGCCCAAACTCCAAATTCTCCTGTACTACCAGGGAGATGGTCCCCATGGGGTCCTCTTTTGCGCGCACACCCTCAAACCCGGCAGGATCCTGCTCCAGCCTCCACCTAGGAGGGTTTGAAAAGACAATAAAAGCACGCAGTGTCGTGTTGGTGGAAACGCCCCGGCCAGGAGGTCACCCACAGCTCTTTGTCCCATTCCCAGCCTGTGTGAAGAGGTTTCCCTGCCTCTACGTGGACATCACCAGCAACAGAGGGAAGATATGGTGGAACATCCGGAGAACCTGCTTCCGCATAGTGGAGCATGACTGGTTCGAGACCTTCATCGTCTTCATGATCCTCCTCAGCAGTGGGGCGCTGGTAGGTCCCACCTTTCGCCCTGTCCCATCTGTTCTGCAGCAGCTCCCCAGTTTGGTGGGAGCCCAGGAATGCGGGAGGGCCTAGGCGGCAGCACCGGCGGCTCTGGGCATCGCCTGGTTGTCTCCCGTGCAAAGTAACACGGCTGTGGGCAGATGTTTGTGTTAACACCCCATTCGGCTCAGGTCTGCCCAAGCTACAGCCTTGCAAGGGGATCTAAACCTCCTCCCCTCGCCCTCCAGGAGCCCTGCCTCGGCACCGTCATCCCCACGCCATGGGCTGCAGACCACGGGCTTGAGGGGATGCAACCCCCTCCAGCCTCCCCTCCGGCTCTTGATGTCGACTGCGAACTATCGGCACCTTCTCTTTAGCTTTACGTGGACGGTTCCTCCTTTCACTGCCTCCGTAACTGGCTCTCAGGAGGTGCTTTACGAAGTGACTCCTGGTTATTATTCTGCTGTTCAGCCCCTGCAGCTGCTGACTGGTGCACCCTCCCGCACCTGGGCGTCCATTTAAATCAGCCTCACTAAAAAGCCGTATGTCAGCCTGCTGGTCCTCTCGGAGTGTTTGGGCTGGATATAACTCAGCTGCACCTGTAAATACACGCAGTTAATGGGGAGATCAACTTCTCTGCAAGTTTAGGGGGGAGAGAGAGAGGGAAGGAGGACAGAGGGACTAAACTGGCTTTCAGAGATACTTCACGTGTCTGTATCATGCTCTGAAGTGCAGTTTGGGGATGTCTGAGGTTGCAGCTAATGCCGGAATTGAAAGCTGTGCTGAAACAGCTGTGTAACACCTGGTCACCATGCCCGTACCCCTGCTCGCTTACACTGTACATGCTACGTGGACATAGCAGGAACCCAAACCCCTAAGAGTATTTTCAAAACTCCCAGGATATCCAAAGGTGCAGGTTGGTATCCTGGCTTTTGGCTTGTGCTCAGACTGGTCAGAATTAGATGCAGCTGGACGTTTCCTTCAGTGAAGCTTTGCCTTGGGACAAACACCGCTCTGCGCAGCCAACAAGGACTTGCAAACAAGAGTTAGAGAAGCTGATCAGGTGCGTCAGTAAATGCCACCTGTAGTTAGGCTTTCGATTTTTCAAGCTTCCCCAAGCTCTAGGAAAGCAGGGCCAGTGCGGGCATGGCTGCGGCTGCACTGAGCCGTGCAGCGGGTCTCATGGAAGAATGACTGTCATGTAGCTCCGTGCCTCTTCCAGGCTTTTGAGGACATCTACATTGAACAACGAAGGGTGATACGCACCATCCTGGAGTACGCCGACAAGGTCTTCTCCTACGTCTTCGTCATTGAGATGTTGCTCAAGTGGGTAGCCTACGGTTTCAAGGTGTACTTCACCAATGCATGGTGCTGGCTGGATTTCCTCATCGTTGATGTAAGTGTTGTCTAACAATCACCCCTAGAGCCATACTTAGCCAAAGGATTTGGGAGCATTAGGAGTTTGTTGCAGGCTGTTGCAAATGAACCCATACTTGTATTTTAAAAGACAATGGGATGGCTGTTGAACAAGGGCTTAGACCGTTGCTTAGAATAATGGTCCTGCGCAGGAAGAGCCAATTCTGTCCCTGGTTGCAGAAACCCTGTCAAACCCTTTCTGTTTTATGCTCAAGCCAAGAACAAGCTCATGCTGTTCTACCAGACCCCAGTAGAGATGCAAAGGGACATAGGGTCTCCCAAATGCTCCATGACACAGCAGACCACTCCGCCTGTGCAGTATTTCTGCATCCCCCATCACCTCCCCTCTCACACTCAAGAGGCAGGGACATCCTCCAGGTGGCTTGTCACCAGGGACCCAAGCACTTGATGCCAGTCCCTGTGTCCCACGACAAGACAATGACGCCCAGCCTTGAGGGAGTGCTGGGGAGAGAGGGAAGGGCAGGAGCTGCAGGGACATGGTTCAGCTGTGTTTCCATTTGAGATGCTGTTAATCCCTTTGGCTGTTCCTTCCAGGTTTCCATTATCAGCCTGACAGCGAACTGGCTGGGATACTCCGAGCTGGGAGCCATCAAGTCCCTGCGGACACTGAGGGCTCTGAGACCACTGCGTGCCCTGTCCAGATTTGAAGGCATGAGGGTAGGTGCCTCCCCCGTGTGCTGCTGGCTCTGACATAGACATGCAACACAGCACTGTTCAGCAGACCTGGCCCCTTGCCTATCACCAACATCAGGGACCCATTCTGGTTGGTTTTCAAAGGGACCAATGCTAAGGTACCTTTGGTCCAGTTTGAGCCCACTTGGTGCTATTGGGGAGGGTAAGGCACAGGGACATGAAGGTCCACATCATTGCTAGCCTGGCTCCCTAGCCAGGTCCTCCAAGGTCTTTTCTCCCCTTGCAGGTGGTGGTGAACGCCTTGCTGGGTGCCATCCCCTCCATCATGAATGTCCTGCTGGTCTGCCTCATCTTCTGGCTGATATTCAGCATCATGGGGGTGAACCTCTTTGCGGGGAAGTACTACCGATGCATCAACACCACCTCAGGGGAGCTCTTCGACATCAGTGTCGTGAACAAGAAGAATGATTGCATGGCCCTCCTCTACACCAATGAGGTCAGATGGGTCAATGTCAAGGTCAACTTCGACAACGTGGGCTTGGGATACCTCTCCTTGCTGCAAGTGGTATGTAATGAAAGCAGCTGCCATCCCTCCAAGTCATGTATCACTGTAGCAGGGCAGCACAGTTAGCATCAGGGCTGAAGCAGGATGCTGCCCTGATGCCCAGCTGGGGCCTCTTAGTTGCTTCTCAGCTCCAAAATCGGTATTAACACCAAAAAAACCAAACCCTGCAGAGCCAAGGAGGAAAGGGACAGGGTAGAAGATGAGGGGGGAAGGTGTCACCAGGGAACCGCTGCAGGTGAGTGTAGGTAGCACCAAGCCTGGAGCTGCAAGAAGTCCGCTGCAGAGCACAGGATGCAGGAGTGAGGAGGGGAGGCCTCTCTTTTCCCTCCACCCATTTGAAAAGTCTGGCCTGCTGTAGTCGTCATCTGCGAGAGTTTTGCATGGGGAAGATGACGACTGGAAAAAGAGTGCGTGTGTCCGCTGCAGGGCAGTGGGCGAACACAGCCGTGCTTCCACCGAACCCACCGCAGCTGAGCCAGGCAAGCAGAAGAGGAACTGCTCACCACAATTTTAATAAAAATATGGGTGTGGGCTCTGTTACTGGGTGGGCTGGGGTTACTCCCATCATCAGATCCAGGGGAACTGGGGGTTGAAGAATCAGAGCATAACCCCATCGATCAACCAGCTTTAAATTCAGCTTCCTCTTCAGATTTGTTTTTCCATCAGATTCAGGAAACAAGATGTTCAGGCTTTTTGTTTAACAAATCAGCAGTAAAAGCTTGTAAGAGATGCGGTGTACACCCCAGCTCACCAGGATCGGGATCCAGCAGAGGCAGCGATACAGAAATCAGGGCTACGGCGGTGGAAGCCGCCGGCCCTGGCACAGCTCCGCAGTTGGGAAAACGCACTTTGTTTTGGGGGAAAGGACTCAATTGCTGCTTTTCCCAGCCTGGTTTGCAGCAGTGTTTTGGGAAGTCTCTGATAACCTCAGCCACAGAAAAGAGCTTGTGTGTGCGCACATGTGTGCATGTGCAAATCTCAGTATTTCTGTATCAGGGCATTTTTCTTGTGGATTCAACTCGTGGTCCCTCTCCTGCCATTCCCACGGACAAGCTGTAAATCCAGGCTCAGCAAGCTTGCTCAGAACTAGACTCCCCAAACTAAACCCCAAACACGTACCCATCACCCTCCCCTCCCTCCCTAGTCCCAAATACCTCCTAGCAAATCTGTTCTTCTCCGCTGTCCCCGCAGGCGACCTTCAAAGGCTGGATGGACATCATGTATGCCGCCGTGGACTCGCGTGAGGTGAGGGGACAAGCAGCGGCGTCTCACAGCCAGCAGCGAGCGTCGCTCATCCCACCAGGCCAGTTCCCCCGGCAGGCTGGGAGCAGAGTCCTGGGACCAAGGAGGAGCTCAGCACAGGCTGGGCATGGACCCCTTGGCTGCAGCATCCCCTCTGGCTCTGCCCATCAGTGCTGGGGGTGCTGCCTGCATCCCACCCACGGCTTTGGCTAGGACGTGGGCCAAAGAAATGCCCAAAACATCCCCCCTGCTGAGGTGCACAGCCTTGGCTGTGTCCCTTCTGGTGCCTTCTGCCACCCACGTCTCTGTCACTTGCACCCCAGCTGCACCCTGCCCCTCATACCGGGCTCCCAAATCCCCGCTCTGCCCCTGCAGCTCCAGCTTGGAGGGCTTGTCCTTCACCCTGCTGTGACATGATGCCCTGCACGTGCCGGGGAGAGCTTATCCCAGCCTGGATAAAGTGCCTGGCTTGCCCTGAGCAATAAATGGGCTCCTAGAGCAGCCACCATTTAACCTTTGTGTTAAATGGGTTATTAAAAAAAAAAAAAAAAATGCTTTGAAGGGTTTCATGCTGGGATCCATCCCCAAAAGCGTCCCCAGGCCAGCCCACATGTGCACACACTGCCATGAGCCAATGCAGCAGGAAGGACTTCCCACCTTGCTCTAACCAAACAAGCTCGCCTGTGCCCAATGGTGGGGTCAGCCCGGCGCACCCATGGGCCCAAATGTGTTGGTTTTGTTGCCTTTTTTTAGCATCAGAAACAGCTGCTCTGCTCACCCCAGCTGCAGCTGCCGGCACTCAGGGCTCCTTCTTCCCCAGGCACCCAGGGCAAAGTCGCTTCAGGAGAAAATCCTCTCTCTTCTGCCAAGAGCTTTCCTCAAAATGGGGGAAGCTGGCTGTGACACCTTGGGATGTCTCCAGTCACATGTAGAGCTCAATTAAATGATGCCCCTTGATGAGGAGTGTTTTTTGAGGCTGCCAGGCTGTGCCACCCCCGTGTGCTGGCGTGGCACGAATTAAACCACTTTTCCTTTTCCCTCTTGGCTGTATTTCAGCCTTTGAAAAGATTATTATCAGGAAGAAACTCAAGTTTGCTCATTGATATGGCTATACCTGGGAGGTGGTGGAGTCACCATCTCTGGAAGTGTTCAAAAAATGTGTGGATGTGGCACTTCAGGACATGGTTTAGGGGACATGGTGGCGCTGGATTAATGGTTGGACTTGATGATCTTGAAGGTCCTTTCCAACCTAGTGATTCTGTGATTCTGTGATCCTTTCCTATTACCCAGCCCACGCCATGGGATTGTAGGTCAGCACATCCTTGTTCCCCAGCTGGTGTCACATGGATGTCCCTTCCCATGGCTGCTCCCACAGGGACCACTCAACCCACACAACATCTGCCAAAGGTTTTGGAGCAGCCACCCCACAGCTCTGTCTGGATAGAGTGACCGCTTTTCCAGGGCCTTGGGGACATGATTTCTGGAGAGGGTTAGTCTCACGTTTCCCATCTCTCCTGGTCAGATTGAAGAGCAGCCAGTGTATGAGATCAACCTCTACATGTACATCTACTTTGTCATCTTCATCATCTTCGGTGCCTTCTTTACCTTGAACCTCTTCATTGGTGTCATCATTGACAACTTCAACCAGCAGAAGAAAAAGATAAGTATTTTGGGGGTCCTGGAGCCACTGTTGCCTCCTGGGGCACTTGTCCAGGCTGGAGGGTACCAGCACGGTCATGGGGCAAGGGGACAAGGCCACTATGCCTGGTGCTCGGATGGACCCCAGAGGCCCTCTGCAACCTGAATTGCAGGTATCCATTGGTGGCTTCCCGCAGAGTGAACAAGGAGAGCTGGACAAACGGCACTGGGGCATTTGTGTCCTGGCCATAGCATTTATAGAGGATTTCATTTATGGATGCAGAGGGAAGAGGCAAGGGGAGCTCTGTTTTCTTTTGCCTGTGCCATGGCAGGCACAGCTGTGTGCCTGTGCCATCACTTTTATTTTCTTTTCCTACCCCATGACCCTTTCTCACCACTTTTCCATGCATCAAGGAGAGACTCAACTTCTGCTTTCCAGTGAGCAGCACGGGACTGACACCCCTGGGCTGCTGGAGGGGGAAGTGGGCTGTGAGTGGGTAACACAGAGCACGTTGTTTGTGCCGAGCAAGCTCTGAAGCACACCGAGATGCTGCCTTGGTCCCAGCAGGATCTGGCCAGCAATGAGGGGGTGAGCCCCGGTAGGGCGTGGGGTGCCTCACTTGCTGCAGCAGGCTGGGACGCAGCATCTCGCCTCTGCAGGAGGAACCCACAGCACTGGGGTGAGCACCCGTGGGTGCTGTGAACTAGGGGAAGCGGCGTAGAAAAGGGCAGGTAGGGAGGAGGGGGGTTTCACTGAGTCAGTGCAGCAAGCGATGCCTGGTAGGAGCCTGGCTGGAGAGGCTTGGTGGGAAGGAGCATGGTTGGAGGTGCTTGGTAGGAAGACACGAGTTCCCGAGACTAACAGCGGTGATTCCCTTTATACTTTGGAGGAAAAGATATCTTCATGACCGAAGAGCAGAAGAAATACTATAATGCCATGAAGAAGCTTGGCTCCAAGAAACCCCAGAAGCCCATCCCCAGGCCATCGGTAGGTTGGGTTAATCACCTTGGAGTGCAGCACAGAGGGAGCACTTCAAGCCACCAGCTGTCCCAGAGTGAATGAGAAGGGTCTAGGAAAGACCATTTGCCAGGGCAAGGAGCCAAATCCTGGCTTCCCATTGCTACTCTTCAGACAGGACCTTGCTAAAAACTGGGGCTTCAGAAGAGGTTCATATCAGGTAACTTCCTTTGGGTCTGGTCTTCAGCCCTGGGTCTGCTGGCAAGAGCAAGGGGGAGATCCCTTCTGCAGGGATTAGGGTTTTCTCTTAGCTTAGCTCCCAGCTCTTCCCTCGAAGGGAGTTAGATTCAGGGAAAGCTCCGTTTTCAACATTCCTAGAAGGGACACTAGTCCAGCCAATACATGCAGAGTTGTGACCCATGTTTGGTTTTGAGAGCCCTGCTCAAGTGAGGCCTTTTCTATGTGTTTATTTTTGCTCTGATGCATTAGCTGTGGATATAATTAGAAAGCAACTGTCCCCTGTGCCCACACTTCCTGGCCGGGGTGTAACCAGATGGGCTTCATCCTACAAGGTGCTGGGTATCCTCCTCCCATAGCTCTTGGGCCCTTGAGACCTGTGTACTGGCCACAACCCTGAGGTTTCTTACACCCTTTTAAATATGGTTCCTTCTTCTCTTTCTGTTGTGTCTTTTGTTTTGTCTGTGTCTGTGTCGTGTTCCCACCTCACCTCTGGCTCTCCACCATCACCCACATGGCTGTTATGGCAGAACAAGTTTCAAGGGATGGTGTTTGACTTTGTTACCAAGCAAGTGTTTGACATAACCATCATGATCCTGATTTGTCTTAACATGGTGACCATGATGGTTGAAACAGATGATCAAAGTGAACTCAAAACATCTGTCCTCTACAAGATAAACCTGGTCTTCATCGTCATCTTCACCGGAGAGTGTGTGCTCAAAATGTTTGCCTTGCGTTACTACTACTTCACTATCGGCTGGAACATCTTTGACTTTGTGGTGGTCATCCTATCCATCCTAGGTGAGTCCTGCTGGTTCCACCAATTCCTCAGGGGTCCTACCAGATAACAAAGAGGAGAAATGGTCTAGCTGATTCACAGCCACCAAGCTCTCACTGGCCACCCCCTTACATCCACCCTTTTGGCAGGACCAAGCCGACAGGAGCCTGAGACAAGAGGGATGTGAGGCCACCCCATGCCACCAGGCGGGATGAGGGACTGGGGATGTGTCTCACTTCTCGTTGGTGTTGGGTTCCCCTTGTATCCATGTTGCCCAGCTGCACTGCTGAAACAGAGCGGCCAACAATTAACCTTTGGGTCTGTGCTCAGAGTTTATTTTTTAATACGTTCCCTTTGCCACTAGAGGAGCAGGGAGCTGTGTGCTATCGGGGGTGGCCTCATCTCCCTGTACCTGCCCATCTCTCGCGGATGGAACGGAGTAGCTCCACCTCACCTCCCTGTGTTGGCTGCAGGGCATGGCAAACTCACCTCTTCATCCCTTCACAGGTATCGTCCTCTCAGATATTATAGAGAAGTACTTTGTATCACCCACCCTCTTCAGGGTCATCAGGCTGGCAAGGATTGGCCGTGTCCTCCGGCTGATCCGAGGGGCAAAAGGCATCCGGACTCTCCTCTTTGCTCTGATGATGTCTTTGCCTGCCCTGTTCAACATCGGCCTCCTGCTTTTCCTCGTCATGTTCATCTACTCCATCTTCGGGATGTCCAACTTTGCCTATGTAAAGAAGGAGGCGGGGATCGATGACATCTTCAACTTTGAAACTTTTGGGAACAGCATGATCTGCCTTTTCCAGATCACCACGTCAGCTGGATGGGATGGCCTCCTCAGCCCAATCCTGAACAGCGGTCCCCCCGACTGTGACCCCGACCTGGAAAACCCTGGCAGTTCAGTAAAGGGGGACTGTGGCAATCCATCCATCGGCATCTTCTTCTTCTGCAGCTACATCATCATTTCCTTTCTCATAGTGGTGAACATGTACATTGCCATCATCCTGGAGAACTTCAACGTGGCCACAGAGGAGAGCAGCGAACCCCTCTGCGAAGATGATTTTGAAATGTTTTATGAAACTTGGGAGAAGTTTGACCCTGATGCTACCCAGTTCATTGCGTACAGCACTTTGTCTGACTTTGTAGACACCTTACAGGAGCCACTCAAAATTCCCAAGCCAAACAAGATCAAGCTAGTCACCATGGATCTACCAATGGTTGCTGGGGACAAAATCCACTGTCTGGATATCCTGTTTGCCCTGACTAAGGAAGTGCTGGGAGACTCGGGAGAGATGGATGCCTTGAAGGCCACCATGGAGGAGAAGTTCATGGCCGCAAATCCCTCGAAGGTTTCCTATGAACCCATCACCACCACTCTGAAAAGGAAACACGAGGAAGTCTGTGCTACAAAAATCCAGAGGGCTTTCCGGAGGTACCTCCTGAGGCGCTCCGTGAAGCAGGCATCCTACATGTACAGGCACAGTAAGGACGAGGATGCCCTGAGAGAGGAGGCACCCGAGAAGGAAGGTCTGATCGCCACCAAAATGCATGAGATGTATGGGAACAGTGGGACAGGTGTGGAGACAGCCCCTGCCTTTGGTCTTGCACCCATTCCCAGCTCAGAGACTCAAGATGCTCCTGGAGAAGCAAAAGCGTGGGATAAGGACCGTGTTGTGAAAGAGTCGCTGGTATAACAGAAAGAGGTTTCCACCTCTCGCCGGCCTTAAAAGATTTCATTTTTATCTCCTTTTCAAGAGCTCTTCCGTATACAGATCAATAGATCTCAGACATGGAGCTATTGCAGATACTTCAAGTAGACACCTTAACTTTCAAAGCAGGGTCTCTTACTGATCCTGGTTTTTACAGCTCACTGCACTTGCAAAGAATTTAATATTTTTCTTAGGAGAATTGAATGTGAAATCTATCTATAGTTGGTGAAAGAGAAACATTTTAGTTTTGAAATGGTTTCATCATGGTAACGATGTTTTTCAGCCATTAACAAACGAGTATGGCTGTCTTTTTACTTAAAGTAATTATTTATTAATGTTATTTCACAATTAAGAGGTATTATTTTATATTATTCTTCCAGAGTGCAGCCAAGTAGCCAGTGAAAGATGAGCCAAGTGAAATAATATTAAGAGTAATTACAAAAAAAGATAAGGTTTTGTGAACAAAAATCTCCAATGTCTTAAAGTAGCACCTTTCTTCTGAATATTTGAATAAGCTTTATGGATTTTTTTTTTGTTATATACAGAGAAAGTGCAATTATGTCTTAAAGATTTGTTTGCATAGCCAAAACAAAGCATCTGCAGATATGTTCTCAGGGTTAAATATCAGGTTTTAAAGGTCTCTGAATATGCATTGAAATCATAAACCATGCAGGTCTCTGCGATACAAATGTAAACGGTATTTATAGTCATGCTTCTTCTCTGTTTTCCCGTTTCATCCAGATTTTGTGGCAGGGGAGGAATGGACAAAGGTAGGGTTTGGAGAACCTCCTCCAAGAATCCCCAGTCCCTGTAACAAAACCACCTCTAGGGTTTCTTCAAGCCCCGTAGCAAATGGAAATGTCCCTCTGTGGCGCTCTTGGTTGGCGTTAATTAACGAGATGCATCGCCGGGGATTGGAGCAGGTCTTTGAACGGTCCTTGTAGTGAGCTGCTTCAACAGGGTCCCTTAAATCCCATCGGCCGCCCAGCACTGGGGGACCTTAATGTAATGAATGCTCCCACTGGGGTGTAAATCCCAAAATACTCGTGCGGAGCATCCTTCCCTTGGTGAGGGCTCTGGGGACGACCCAGCGGCACGTGCTGGGGTGTCTGCAGAGCCTGGTGGGGCCAGGCAGGTCCTCACCAGGAAACCTCCTGGCAGAGGAGGGTTTTCCCAGAGGGAAAGGGTTTTACTGCTCTTTACACAGATGGGCAAAAGGAAAGTAAATCAAGAAAATGTGCAAAAGGCCCTGAGTTCATCTCTGGACCGCTTTCTGCCTTCAAAAGGGGAAAAAAGACTTCTTGAGATCAAAACAAACATGAACCAAAACCTCTTCCACTTAAAACAAGGGCTGCTTCTTGAAGCCAAAGGGTCTGTCTTTTTTTTTTTTTTTTTTTTTTTTCTTGGGTTGAGTTTTGGTGCCAAGCCGTTACAGATGCCCCATGTTCAGGCTGGCCAGCAGCAGCGGTGCTGAGCTTGCTTGCGTCCACGTGCTGTCGGCCAGGCGGCAGAGCCCGGGTCGCTCTGCTCATCCCATAGCGTTGTGCTTTCATTTCCATGTTGCGTAGGGCGATGCTCCCTGGAACAGGAGCCTGAGCTACTTTAAATGGTGTTTGCATGGGAAGCATCCATGGCACAGCAGTTTCCAGCCCGGATTGTGGTTCACAGTCAATGCTGCTTGTACGTACGTGTCGTCAGTAATGGGAAAAAATGCCAAAGAGCAGGATTTGTGTGAGCTAAAGCCATTTTTCTTTGTACATTTCTTAAAATAAACAGCCGTAAATGGTCTATTATTACAATATGGAATGTGTTGGTGTGTGTTAGAGGGAGAAATGTTTACTCTGCCCCCAGGAGGGGTAAATGTCCCTTCCCTTTGCTCCAGGGCAGATATAGGGAGCCCTTTTGCATGGCCTTGGGTGGACCTACCATCCTCAGCAGGAGCTGGTGGTCTCATCCCGCACAACACCATCCCATCCTGGCCTGTATCAGCACTGGTGTGGCCAGCAGGAGCCGGGCCGGGATCGTGCCCCTGGACTCGGCACTGGTGAGGCCGCACCTCGAATCCTGTGTTCAGTGTTGGGTCCCTCACTACAAGAAGGACGTTGAGGTGCTGGAGCGTGTCCAGAGAAGGGCAGCGGAGCTGGTGAGGGGTCTGGAGCACAAGTCTGATGAGGAGCGGCTGAGGGAACTGGGGGTGTTCAGTCTGGAGAAGAGGAGGCTGAGGGGAGCCCTCATCGCTCTCTGCAACTCCCTGAAAGGGGGTTGTGGTGAGGTGGGGGTTGGTCTCTTCTCCCAAGTAACCAGCAACAGGACGAGAGGAAATGGCCTCAAGTTGCACCAGGGGAGGTTTAGATTGGAGATTAGGAAACACTTCCTTATGGAGAGGGTGGTCAAGCATTGGCACAGGCTGCCCAGGGAGGTGGTGGAGTCGCCACCGCTGGAAGTGTTCAAAAAACGTGTGGACGTGGCACTTTGGGACATGGTTTAGGGGACATGGTGGTGTTGGGTCGGTGGTTGGACTTGATGATCTTGAAGGTCTTTTCCAACCTTAATGATCCTCTGATTCTGTGAAGAGACCCCCTGTGCTGCCTCCCCTGATACCTCAAAGCCAGCCAAGACCCTGGAGCTTCCGCTCTGCGGGCAAGGTCCGTGGAGACCTGGAGCCTCAGAGCAATGAGCCCCAACCCCAGGAGATGTAGGAGATGCTGCTGCAGGCTCAACCGAGGAGAGAGGTGGGCTTGGAGGAGGTGCAGACCCCTGAGCTGCCCCGTGCCAGGCGCTGTGGGGCCAAACGTGCCCCACTGGCCATGCAGGAGCAGGTCAGCATCATGGGGCGAAGGCGGTGGCGGGCGAAGGTTTCTCGTCAATGTGTGGCTGGAGGAGGAGCCACCTCTGGGACCCACTGACGTCCCTGAGGACCATGGCACGGCCTCGCTGCCGTGTTTTCACTCTGGCTGGAACAGCTCGTGCCATCGCTGGCGTAATTCAAGTTGTGCATCGCGGCCCCC